GGATTAAGTTAATTAATGCACTTATACATTTAGAACAGTACCTGAAACATAAAAATGTACTCTGCATATGCCAGGTGCTGTGCTAAGTAGATACTGTTATCCTCATCTCACGGTATGGGTACAACTCAGAGACAGTGGCTTACCCAGATCCTTTGTGGGAAGTGACAGAGTTTGAACCTGGGTCATTTGATTCCAATGTCATGTTCTTTTACACCATCCTCTATTACTTCCGGGAAATCCCCCTACCCTACCCCTATCCTTGGCCCCCATTCTTGCCCCCATGCAGCAGCCTTCCCAGAGAGCTTCTAAAGGTGAGAGTGGAGCTTCGTAAGGTTTGCTGAACACACACTGGGTCAACCCTTTCCATGAGAAAGCCACAGCCCCTGCCTTTAGCGAGTGCAGACTTCTCCCGACAGGCTCGGACATCAGCCGAGGGGAGCAGCCCCGGCACAAAGTTCTGCTGGTGAGGAGGTGGGTCACTCTGAGGGCTGAGGCAGTGGTTTAGGAAGGCCTCAGGCTGGCATGGGCTGTTTCACTGGAGTCTTCAAAGGGCCCTGGACAGACAGGAGAAGGTGTTGCCATTTATACCACTGGGCCGGGCACGAAAGCTAGACCAGCAGAGAGGTGGGGACTGGAGCGGGAGTAGCTGCGGCTTGCTGGAGAAGAACCAAGCACAGCGATCCTAGGAGGTTAAGTGGTGGTGGCCCCGCTTGACTGACATGGAGACAGGTTCAGAGGTGAATCACTGGGCAGGCCAGCAACATGGGTGGAAGTGGACTTGAAGCTGCAGCCCGCCTACCTCAGGAAAAGGCTTCCTGTCGATCCCATAATCTTGCCCAGGGCCTCTTGCTACCTCTAACTTAACCTGCACATCACTGCCAGGAAAAGCTATTTATTGCAACTTTATAGTTGGGGAAACTGAGGCTCAGAAAGGTTAACTTGCCTGAGTTCTCCCAACCAATGGATCTGGGATAATTCAATCTGGGACTGACTCCAAAGCTCATTTCTTTTTGCCACACTGCCTTCCAAAAGGGACTTTTCCCAAAGCTGGAGATAATGCCTAAAGTGTATGGGTGTCCCTTGGAGAGAGGAGCTCTGCTCTTTTCCCATTAGACGTAAATGTTGGTCATCAGCAGGGCCTCTGAAGGACTATAGTAGGGGCACAGTTAAGTCTGGCCGCTTTGTGATGATTCAGGTACAGCTGAAGTGCAACTTCGGGCAGATCAAATGAAAAAGTAAACAAGATCATTAAGATGCAGGTTTAGCTCTGGAGCTTTTGACATGTTCCAGTGTGCAAAGGGCTGCTGTTTATAGACGCGCCCTTACCAGTTGGATAAAGCAGTCCTGCAAAAGCCACATTAGCATCAGTTAGCATTCATGTGAGGGTCGACTGTACACAGCCTAGGATCACAGAACTGTCTTGAAGTCTTCGAGCTAGAAGGGGCCTTTGAAATCTAGTGGTGATCTAAGCACGGGAAGTGACTTGCTCAAAGTCACAGATCTAGAGGAAGATTTGGGGAAGGGCAGGGGTGGAGAACGTCATTTACTTGGTAGGAATTTAACATTCCTCCATACACTGCCTTATTTGATCTACACAAGAACCTGATGCTGTCGAACTGTTACTCCCCACCTGATAGAGGCAGGCACAGTGCAGCTACATCCTGAATGCATTCCATCAGAGCTCTCCAGTTGTACATGCTTGGCCAAAAAGATAGAATGGAAATACCGAAGATCCACCTGCGAGGAACATGTGCCCCTCTGTGAGCGCGAGGTGGAAAATCTGAACCTGAGGCCATACATAAGTGGTAGCTGATTCTATGTACCTGTCTGCGTGAGCATCTGTCTCGTCGCCGAGTGTATTCCAGTGGATTAAGAGACACCTGTTCTGTGCAATATTGCTTTTGGGTGCAAGCCAGCTATTTCAAAGCCCTACTGTAACTGTGAGTTAGAAGAACTGGCATTATTGGCCTTACTGGGACATGGCCTCTTTATCCCCAACATGGAGCCTTCCTAAAGGATTTTCAAGTGTTATTTTGAATCTATCCTCCCTGTGTGTATTCCTCTATTTATGATGTGTGACCAGCATGTGCAAAGCACAGAGCTGGGAGGTGGCTGCAGCAGGGCCAGAATTCGGCCCAAGTCAGGGCTGTCTCCAACACCCCAAGTCTCAAGCAGTGCCTAAGTAGCACTGACCCCAGAAGTACAGAATGGGATAGCTACCGTTTATTGGTACTTAATATTACTTATCCCAAGCACTTAATGTACAGTATATTTACTCTTTGAAACAGCTTATGTGGTAGAATAGATACTATTATCAACCTCATTTTGCAAATGTAGAGTCTGAGCTGTAAAGAGTTCAAGTCACTGGCCCACGGTCCTCCTGCTCAGTAGTAGTAGAGGTAATAATAATAGCAGCAGCAGCAGCAGAGCTGCGATTTCAGACCTAAGCCGCCCAGCCCCACTGTCTGCCCTCTTCATCACAAGGTGCCGCTGATTCCTCTATTCCCGGAGCGCCCGCCAGAGCGCCAGGGCCTTGGAACAGCCAGGCTGCAGTGAGCACCGGAGGCCACCAGAGGGCAGAGGGCTGCTGGCTGTGTGTCTTTCCCATCAGGGCTGGGCGGCCAGCCCTCAGATCTTCCCTCGAATCCGGGCTTGCTGGAGGGAGCCAGGAGCCCCTCTAGTTCCCATCAATAAACATACTGCTGGGGCCCGCTGCCCCGTCCCAGCCCTCCTGCCCTCTGCTGCCCCCCTACTCTCAAGGCAGGGTGGGAAAAGTCACCCCACCTTCACCCCCAAACTCTGACTGTCCTGAGGCTCTGCCTTTCTCAGACCAGCTGATGCTGGGGGCTGGCATTGTCCAGGCAGGTGTGGACCAGCCACATGCCCTTGCCCTCCCAGCCCTGCTTCAGCCTGTGCAGATTCTGGTGTCCCCAGTCACTCACAGTCTCCTGCCGCCTGCGGCTGTCACAAACATTATGATTATTGCCACCATTTGCCAGGCCCTCTGCCCAGTGCTTGACAGCAATTATCTGAGTTAACACTCCCAACTGCTTTGGAATCATTATCTCCCTTTTCCTGCCGCACATTCCTGTTGCGAGAGGTGAAGTCATTTGCCCAAGGTCACAGCCAGTGAGAGACTGGCGAGAGATCAGGAAGCCAGCTCTGCCTCCCTCCAATCTGCTCTTCCCACTGAGGCACGCTGCCTCTTCCCAGGTTCCCCTGACCTCTCTCCCAGCAAGTCACCTCTCCCCGTCCCACCCCACCCTACCTCTGCACTGGGTCTGAGCTGACGTCATTGTGGGTGAATGATGCCCCCTCTCAACGCAGGCCCCTGAAGGTCAAAGAGGCAACATCCTGTCCTGGACAATGGCAATAAAGACATCTGAGGGTACTTTCCGCCCTTCCCATGACTGAGTGACGCTCACAGGCAGAGGCGTCCCTGGGAACAGTCCTCTGGTTCCGTGTGAGTGTGTGAGCACACAAACTGTGTGACTCTGGTGTATTTGTAAGTCCCACACCTGGGTGACAGCATGACTGCAGGTGGTCGCATGCCCATGGGCCCTTATATGAGACTCTACCTGAGCAAGTGTGTGTGCCTGTGCGACTGTGTGCCTTTGCGTATGTGTTTGTGCTCCTTGGTGGCAGAGGGGGCAGAGAGCATGCTACCTGGAGCAGGGGTTGCAGGTGAGGGGGAGATAGCCCTTTGCTCAAGTTCTGCCTCCCTCCTGAACCTTCTCAGAGAGCCACCTGAGTCCCCCCCGGAGGCCCATGTCCCAGAGGACGCTTGCCTGGAAGAGAGCTGGGTTCCTGGGCACTGTCAGGGGTGAGGACTGGGAGTCCCATACATGTGAATTCTTCGCCTTTTCTCATCTTGGCCCTGGCCTTGGCCTGTTGCTACTTCTCCCTTACTGATCTGAGCTGGATCCGAGATCTAGCAGTACCTGCTCCTGTCCCCAGGCAGCCCCCCGCCTTCCCTACGCAAAGTTTCCCAGAAGCTGGTCCATCCTGAGCTGCTGGTCCCTGGCTAAGCGTGTTCCCTGCAGGCCCCAGAGGCCAGAAAAAATACAGGAGACAATGGTAGGAACACCGAGTCTGCCGTTAGAAGAAGCTGGAATTCCGTCCTGGCAAGACCTTGTCCTCTCTGAGCCTCAGTTTCTTTATCTGTTGAATGGAGATGAAATGCCTTACCTCAAAGTGTTGATGAGATGGTCCAAGAGAAGCCAGATGGAAGGGAGCCAGCTCTGGCCCTGGCACATCTCAGTCCCAGGACTGCGCTGCCCTGTCTGCGGCCTCCCTCTCTCGTCCATACAGCCTGTCGCTGCGCTGCCCAGACTAGCCGACTCTCCCGCACACCGTCCTTGCCCTCCCGGAGTGTGGACAGGGGCGGAATGCATCCCTTGGCTGCTGGACTGGTGTGGCGGCCGTACCGAGGCAGCCCACCCACGCCCCAGGTGCCAGTGTAGTCTTGAAATCACTGCTCTTCTCGTCGTCTTTCCCTGCTCTGAAACCTCCCGTGACGTCCTACTGTCTCAAGGTGAAGGGCAAAATGCCTTAGTATAGAGCTTCCTTCCCTGGCTGTGGCCCCCAGCACCTCTTGGCACATTCTCTGCTTCAGTCCTGTCCACCACCCCTTCCCCTCTGTGCTTCCTGCCTCTGCCCACAGCCCCCATCTCTGGAGCCTCAAATCTGCCCAGTGATCAAGGCCCAGTTCAAAGGCCACCTCGTCCGGCAAGCATTCCCAGACCTGGCCCCAGGGGACCTTCTCTGGTGGCTCTCAGTCTGCTTCCTGGCTGTGCCCTAGGGAGGCTGTGCTCACGTCCGGTCCTCCCTCTAGCCTGTGGCCTCCGGGGCGTGTGGCCGGAGCTCCAGCTGTGTCCCTTTCCTTCCTGACAGTCTTCAGGGAGGTAGGGTGTCTCGGTGGCCAATGCCCAGAGCGGACAAGGGGTTGGGGGGTGAGGAGGCAGCTATCAGTGAGGGGAGCTCCACCACTGTGGCCTCCTGGCCAGGCCACAGGGATGTGAGATGACAACCAGACACATCCTCTGGCCACTCCCCAGCTGCCCCCTGGAGCATCAGTGAAGGAGCCCACCTACCCCAGGGCCTGGGGGAGAGGAGGGAGCCCTCTAGCCCAATAGGCTTCAGATGCCAACGCAGCAATGGCTTTCTGTGTAACACTGGGCACTGTCTTCTGAGAGCCTCTGTTTCCTCTTCTGTAAAACGGGCATCATTGACCTGCTTATTGGAGTCCGACTCAGCAGCTGCTCCTTTCTTCTTCCCCTTCTTTAAAGATGGGAGCCAGGGGCCAGGAAGATAGTGCCGAAGGTATGGACTGAGTAGATGTTTAAGCTTTTCTTTGGAATTTGTGAAAACTGATTTCTGTTCTGGAATTTTTCAGTTTTGTGACCGCAGCTGCGGCCAAGTCCATGTGGCAATGAATCTGAAAAGTTGTGCCTTCCTCTAGGCCTAGGTAGCCACAGGCTCATGTCTGCACTTTATCCTCTCTGTTGGCTGGGTGCCCTGTGTAGTGCACTACCAATAAAACTGTACACGGCACCCGTGTATGCACCCTTGGGAAAGCCATGGTTTCTTAACCTCTCTGGGCTCTTTTCTTTCTTTTTTTTAAAAGAGAGGAATGCTTTTTTCTTTGTTTTTCTTTTTCTTTTTTAACTATTTTGGAGAGACAGAGACAGAATGTGAGCGGGGGAGAGGCAGACAAAGAAGGAGACACAGAATCTGAAGCAGGCTCCAGGCTCTGACCTGTCAGCACAGCTGACAGGCCTCAAACTCATGAACCGCGAGATCATGACCTGAGCCAAAGTCGGATGCTTAACCGACTGAGCCGCCCAGGTGCCCCAACCTCTCAGGGTTTCTGACCTTCGTTGTATTCATCTATGAAGTGGGGCTCTACAGTTATTTTTTATGGGGCTCCTGAGTGGCTCAGTTGATTTAAGCATCTGGCTCTTGATTTCAGCTCAAGGATGGTTGAGGGATCGAGCCCTGCCTCAGGCTGAAGCATGGAGCCTGTCCGAGGTTCTTTTCTCTCTCTCCTTCTGCCCCCTCCCCACTCTCTCTCTCAAATAAAAAATGTTTAAAAATACTATTTCTTACATATTCCCAGAGCTGTTAAGAGATTCACAGACACCGCCCATCTTCCTCAGATAGTTCTGGACTCCTGGAGGAACTTGTTCCACCCTCCAGGACATGTTTACAACAAGATGGGCGCCTGTGAAATGTGAGCCACGCCCTCTCCAAGGTCGCACAGATCAGCACAGGAACCTCTCTACTCCCGCCTGAGCTCTGTTCCGGGCCTTTCCCCCTGGAGTCAGAGCCTGGCCTGGGGGGACCGGGCCTCGGTGGACCCAACTTTAACGTGCACACTGGGACCAGGCCGAGGTCACACAAATACAAGAGTTAACTGCTGGGCACAAAGGAATAGCATCAGGCGTCCTCTCAGAGATCAGAGGGTGACCCGTCAGCGGCTGCTGCGGGGGGTGAGGGGTGGCGTGCTTGCACACCTGTAGAACACCTGGGCCAGAGCGGGTGTCTGACAACCAGCCGCCGCTATTGCAAAAGCCACGACCTTCCTGATCCCCTGAGGGCTCAGCGGCCTCACTAAGTGCCAGGCCTCCGGTGAGCACTGGAGTCGCAACAGAGCATGACACAGGCTCTGCCTTCAGGAGCTCACAGGAGAGCGGCCGGATAGACAGCTCGGCAGGTTTACAGCGGGGAAAGGGGAGGAGGCTGGTGGACCCCAGAGGAGGTGGGCTTCCTGGAGCTGGGGGTCAGGGAGGAAAATGTTCTAGACAATCGGAAGTTTGCGGTGGTCAGATGTAGAAACCGAGTCTGGGTAAGGCTGCACACCTGTTCCCTGACGGGGCTGGGACTCTCAGCCGGGCTGCCTAGCTTCAAAGCTGGGGCTTTGTCACCTACAGCAGGTCTGGGCCCGGCTTTCCGGTTCATTGGGGGTGCTTTGGGGATCCCGGTTGAAGGGTGAGCAGGAGCTAATCGTGAAGGGCCTTGAATGCCAGACCAGGGAGTCTGGGCTTTCTTCTGAAGGTCTGGGGCAGCCACTGATGTGTTTTCAGGTGGGGCTGCAGGTCGTAGAGGCAGCATGGCCTGGAAGGTTCTAGAGGAGCAAGAGTTTGCCAAAAGAGGTGGCCTTGTATGTGGAAAGCGCAACAATCCCAGCCTCCCCTGCTGCCCATAAGGCATGTAGAGGGGTGTGAGGGTCCTGGGGCCCAATGCCTCAGGACTCAGGTGTGGGCCTGGGGTTCTGGAAGGGCCCCAAGATCCAGCACCCAGCAGGGAGGGGGCCTGAGCTCACACCTCGGCCCCGGGCTGGGCTGGGAGAGTACGGGAAGGGGAGCTGGTTCTCTGTTCCCAGGGGGAAGTCAGAGGTGGAGCTAGGTCTGGCAGGGCCCAAAGTCCTGAGGCCGGGAGCCATTTCCTCTTTCCCACAGCATGAAGGACATCACTCCTGCAGCCCCACCCACTCCAGTCCGCCCGCCCTGCACCGGCTAGGCCAGGCCTGGGGGGCTGGGGGACAAAGAGGCTCTAGGAACCAAAGCCCCTCAGTCCCTCTGTATCTCGGGAGGAGAAAGACTGAAAACCAAAGCAAGCCAGAAACGGGGCTCTTTGGGCACACAGCAGCCCCTCCCAAGCCTCATCCGCAATGTTAAACTGTATTTCAATCTCCTTGAGTCTCCCACTGACCCAACCCTGACCCTAAACCCGATCCTAACCAGCATCCACATCGTTTGCAATCCCTACATCAACCCAATCCCAGAGGCGCCCCAATGTCAAACCTCACGCTGCCGTCCCCCTCCCAACCCTCTGCTCCATCTAACCCCACCTCAGGTCCTGACTTGAACTCTTAACCACTAACTGTTCGTCCGCCTTGCCCCAGCTTAGCCCCGACCCCAACCCAGAACGTCGGGCTGACCCTAACCAGTCCTCACCCTAACCCAGCTGTACCTCTGATCTGTACCTGGTGTTCACCTCCATCCCAATCACAGCGGACTCTACCTTTACGCAAGTGTCTAGCCTCACCTTCAACCTGGACTCCATCCATAACCCTACCGGAGACTGTCCCATCTCTGACTCTCCCCGAGTCGTACTCCCATCCAGCGCTCGGCTAGCAGAGGCCGCCACGGGGCTGGACTGAACGTGCAGACCTCGGTGTGCACACACATACACACACCCCTCGGCACGCGCATAGGTACACGCACGTTAACATCCGCATGCGCGCGCGCACACAAACACCCACACGGGAGAGGGGAGGGAAGTCCAGCCCAGTTCTGAGGCGCGGCCTGGGAAGGCAGGTGGAACCAGTGTGTCCTCCCCCTCTCTCCCTCGGCCGGACCCCTTTGGACTTCCCTCCTGGTCAGGCTCTGCCCCTCCAGCACCTTCTTCAATACGACCTCTTCAATACCCAAGAATTCCTGCCCCTCTCCCCTTCCTTGAAGCTGTCCTGGCTTCTAGCCTGGTTTGTTGGTACATTAGAACAATGGAGCTCCCAGGGCTTCGTTCTTCTGTGTCCTGGTGGCCTTGCTCACAACAGAACACGATGAACACACACTGAGCTGCAGCAAGTCCTCATGGCGGCCAGAGTCTAGAGGGGCAGAGACACACACCCGAGTAATCCTGCCCACCGTTCCCAGTAGACGAGTGTTCCTGCTTCTGTGGGGACTACAATGGTGATTTAGGGATGCAGTGGGGGTTCTTGGGTCCAGGTCTTAAAGTTTGAGGAGGGGTTTGCCTAGTGACAATGATAGCAGATAAAACAGCACGTTCAAAAGCAGGGGGAAGCACGTTCAGGAAGGGTTGGGGAGCCTGGTAAGAAAGGCCTGGTAAGAAAGGCCAGGGCAGGGAGGTTAGGCTGGTCTAGCAGGGGAAGAAAGGGAGTAGAAGGGGAAGGGGTGCGTGGCAGGGGTGATCGGGAGGCAGAAACAGGACTGAGGGGGCTGGGGGAGCAGGGCAAGGGGGTCTGGAGGGCGAGGGGAGGAGTTCATTCGAGGCCGATCTGAGGCTGGAGGACAGGCGGGAGAGGCAGGTGGTCACCAGCAGGGCCAACCGGGGCCAGAAGCTGCCGCTGATATTGATCAAAATAATAATAGCTGAATGACCTTTCACTGATGAGTGCTTCCTGTGTGCCCGGCATCGAGCTGAGCGTTTGTATGACATCATTTAACCCCCACCTGGGGGGGGGGGGCGTAATGAGCCCACCAGGTGGATGGTATCAGTATTATTGATCCACAAGGGATACTGAGGCTCAGAGAGGAGAAACAGTTTGCCCAAGTTCACGCACATTAAAATCGGGCAGTAGGTAGGACTTGAACCCAGGACTGTGGGACAGGAAGAGCTGAGTCCTCCCTCAAAGTCATAGTGGCCAAACCTAGGACCTGCCTTGGCCTGCAATTCATCTCTCATCATTTGAAGCCCCCTAGGAACTCCCTCCTCTCCCCCCTCCCCCCCAGGCTGAACTCTTCACATGTCCCTGAATATTCCAGACCTGTTCACCTCCTGGCCATTCCCCGTGCAGCATCCTCTGCAAGAAGTAGCCTTCTAACCCTTGCCCCTTCTCTAAGAAAGTTCCACCCATTCTCCAGAACTCAGCCCCGGCACAATCTCTTTTGGGAAATCTTTCTGAACTCCCTGCCTCCCGCACCGGGCTCTGTTCCCACCCCAGCCAGGGCCTGGCCTGCAGCAGGTGTCAGTGAGTGTGTGTGTTGATGAAGCTTGATGATGATCAAGCCCAGGGCGAGGCGGGCTTGATCTGGGACTGATCTCTTATCTGCCAGGGCTGTCTCCACCTTATCTGATTAGGCCTGAGTTGAAAGGCAAGCCGATGAGATGCTGACAAGGCCTCTGGGTTACTCAGTAACCTTGCCCTCTTTAAAAATCCACAGTTTCCCTCTGGCATCCAGAACCCATCGCTCCTCCCTCTCGGGCACTGCTGCCATGGACACCTTCCTGCTGTCTGCACTGTGCCTCCTTGCGACCTGGGCAGTCCTGGCAGGGGGAGTCACCGTGCAGGTAAATCCTCTGTCCCTACCCTGGCCCAGCTTGCACTCTGCCCCCAGTTCCCAGGACCTGTGCCCTGAGAAAGCACTCCCTCTTTCTGGAGCTCAGGTGTGGCCGTTTCTCAAGAGTCTGTTTCTCAGCCCTGCCTCGGCTGCCTTCCCCTTCAAACATGGAGAGGAGTGGGGCGCCTGGGTGGCTTAGTCGGTTAAGCGTCCGACTTTCGCTTAGATCATGATCTCGCGGTTCGTGGGTTCGAGCCCCGCGTCGGGCTCTGTGCTGACTGCCAGCTCAGAGCCTGGAGCCTGTTTCAGTCTGTGACTCCCTCTCTCTCTGACCCTCCCCTGCTCACGCTGTCTCTCTCTCTCTCTCCTAGAAATAAATAAAACATAAAAAAAATTTAAAAAAAAACATGGAGAGGAGAGAAATCCGCATTTGAGAAAGGGAGTTGATTAGCCAATTTACTGAGTGCTTTTGCCATGAGCCAAGCTCCTCAAGGGAGGCTCACCCTGGGAAAATGGGATTATTAGTCCCATTTTCCAGAGGAGGAAAAGTGAGCCCCAGAGAGGTTACATAACTGGGCCTAGGCACATGGCTGGGAAGTGAAGGAGCTCGATTCAATTCGAGACCTTCCTCTCAGCCAGAGCATCGACCTGGGTCTTGGGGACCCCGCGGGCATCCCGGAGCAGGCTGTGGTCTGGCCTCGCACTCGGGACCTGTCTCTCACAGGATGGAGAGTTCTCTTTCCCTCTGGAGTCAGTGAAGAAGCTCAAGGACCTTCGGGAGCTCCAGGAGCCCGGCATTCGGAACCGTAGGCAGAGTGGAGGCCTGGTGGCTCCCAACGCCTGCAGCCACCAGAAGTTTCCGGAAGAACTCAAGCCTCTCTGCAAGGAGCCCAATGCCCAGGAGATCCTCCAGAGGCTGGGTGAGCCGCCGCTCCCTGGTGGGTGGGGCGGGGAACTCCCTGGTTGGTGGCGCTGGAGAGGGGCTGTGCTCTGATTGGTGGGTCTGATGCAGCTGTGGTAATTAGTTCTAAGCTGTAATTGGCGGAGCTTGCTTTAGACCGATCCTCGCTCTGATGATTCATTGCTAATTCTGCATCCCGTCCCTCTGGCCTTCGCTCTTGCTCCTTCTGGGCGGCACCTCCACGCTGGCTGGCGGGCTTGAGCCGTACCTGTTTGGGGCGGAGAGACCAGCCAGTGGGAGGGGACAGGCCTGGGTTTCTCCTGGGGACTCAGGGACAGGTGTCCAAGCTCTGGCTCAAGGGAGGGCGGGGCTTTGGCTCTCTGGGCGCCCCATCTCTCCTGCGCAGAGGCCATCGCCGAGGACCCGGACTCGTGCGAGATCTGTGCCTTCGCCGCCTGTGCTGGATGCTAGGACTGTCGGCTCGCTGCCTCCGGGCCCCTCCGCCACAGATGCTCCCAGGGCCCGCAGCTCCGCCTTCCCCTGCCCCCAGGGGAGGAGTGGAGAGGGCGTGGCCTGGGGCGCCCTGCGCTGGCCCGGCCCCTGACCCGTCCCGAGCTGCCACTGCCCCCCAAGATCCACTCCGACCCTCAGCCAATAAACCAGATCCCAGAGTACTCCTGGTGTCGCTTCCTTCCTTCATCTACCAGCCGGCTCCTCACCCAGCTTCATGGGTGCCTGCCCTGCCCTCAAGCTCAGAGTTTAGGTGTGAAGTGCAAGGCACCCCCTCCCTACTGAACCGGGGCTGCCACCACACGCAGGCACTGAGGGTACCTCAGTGTGTGTGTGTGTGGGGGGGGGGAACCTCTGCTTTTCTTTCACGTCCCCGAGGGACACCAAAGTCCCTAAGCCCGGAGTGAGCTCAGGAGTCCCTGGTTTGCATGTCCAACCCAGCTTGGGCGGCTGTGAGACTGGCCCCAAGCTCTGGAGTGTTCAGGGTACCCCAGGCCCTGGCCCCCCTGACCACCTCAGCGTTGCCTCCTGCCCTCCCCGCCGGGACCACACCTCAAGCCACCGCCCTCACCCCTTCCTCTGCTCCCCTCACCTGTGCTCTGCTCCTCTTCCCACCCTCCTGGCCAGAGAAACTCCTACTCAGGTCGTGCTCCCATGGCCGCTCCTCAGAAGCCTTTCTTAACCCTTCCAGGAGGGTCTTCATGCTCCCATTTTGTCCTCTGTGCCCTGCGGGTGCTTTGATGACCCACACCCCTTGCAAGGCTCCGGCCACCCTGTGCCATAATGGCTTCTGTGCCAGTCTCTCTGCCCCCTAGAGTGGGTGAGCCCCACCACACCCGTGCCTGTATGAGGATATAATGCGGGGCAGGTTAAAGCCAGATACCCACTTCCAGCCCTGTACCACATACTGTGTGATGCTAGGAAAAGTCGCTTTCCCTCTCTGTGCCTCAATCGCCTCCCCTGTGAAACTGGGGCTGTAATAGTACCTGCCACCCAGGCTGGGTGAAATAACGCGTGTAAATGTGTATGAGATCCAGAAAAAGCTCAGGCCACGCGCCAACAGAGAATTCAATAAATGGTAAAAACAATAAACCAAAAAGATGGGGAACCAGAGTCAAGCTCTGCGAATAGTTTAGACAGGGGTGAGGAGGTGAGGTATGGAAGGCTGCTTGTTAGCAAAGTTAGAGGGAATGAGGAAAGAGGAGGTGACCAGAGTATTTCTTGGGGAGTCAGAGAAGTGCCATGGGGTGACTGAGGCAGAATTGCTTGGGCTGCAGAATTCAGAGGGTGACGTGTCTTCAGGGCCAGGTCAGGGGAGGCTCCGCAAAGGGGGAGGGGCGACACATACACTGGGGTGGATGGACATCCTAAACCAATCTAGAGGGAGGGAGGCGGAGGGCGTTCCGGAAGGTGGAGTAGATGCAGACACAGAAGTAGGTCCATGGCACTAGAATGGTTCAGTCTGGACAGGGTGGGTCCTGGGAGGCACCCAGGGCGGAGTTCCAACCTGACTGTTGTCACAATGCCTTTGGGCTCAGTTTAGAACTGAGAGGGGGCGCTGGGGAGCCACAGAAGGATAAGGGGCCCCGTCAGAGCAGGGCTGCGGGGCTCCCCTGGCATGCTGGGCACGGAGAGTCTGCAGGACACAGAGCCAAGGAGGAAGGCCTGCCAGGCCTCGGGAAGTGTGTTGAGGGCCCACGTTTAATGGTTGTAAGACAAGAGAGAGGCCTGAGAGTCACAGGAAGCATTGCAAAAGACCCCGCAGCCTTGCCCGGGGGCCGAAGGCGAGGCAGGAACTAGAGCACTTGGGTTTGTGTCCTGGTTGAGTGGGGGGGCCATGGGGCTCATGAGCAGAGCTGGGAGGTTGGGACAGGCAGCGGGTCTGCGGAAATTCACCATGGCCTTGGCCCTGGGTGAGCTGAGTTCAGAGAGCACCTCCCTCTTATGCCCGGCTCTCCTCCCTGGCTGCCCGGAACGGGATGGGGCTGTGGCGGAGCCCACCCTGTGGAAAGGCCCTTCTTCGGGGAACGCCCAGCACGGCCCCTGCCCTGAGTGAAGGAGGTGGCTGCAGCTGTGAGAGTGCAGGCCCCGCCCCCCATCAGGTGTCATCAGCACAGCCCGAGTCATGAGTCATGAGGAAGGCAGCAATGTGAAGGCTCAGAGGACGGGCTCTGGCCTGGACTGCCTGGGAAGAAGTCCGCTTTGGCCCTTGGCCGAGCCTGGGGTCTTGGCCTAGTTAGTTCTCTCTCTGTACCTGGGTCTCTTTATTTGTAAAGTGGAATATTTATAACGGTACCTGCTTTATCAGACGGTTTTGAGGACTCAGTGAGTTAATATGGGCAAAACATTTAAAATAGCGTCTAGGGTATATAGCGAATGCTCGATAGATGTTGGCTATTATTGTTACTATTATTCCTCAGGGCTGCCAGGATGGAGTGAGGGAGGAAAGGTCTTCCATCTAGACCTGGCCAGATGGCTCTGGGGAGCCTGAGAAGAGTGGGCGCTCAGGAAGGTAAGGCTAAGGGCCAAGGCCCATCTTCTCACAAGCCCCCTGGGTGGAGGCAGCCTGGACAACGGGCCTGGGGAGGGGGCACCACGTGGGTCTTCCCTGCACCCACTGCTCCTGCAGCCCTACCTCCTGGGGGATGCTCCCTGCCCTCCCGGCATCCTGGTTGTCATGCTGGCTTTGCGGCTCGGCCAGCCCTTGAGCTTGGCTTGTGGGGTCAGATGGGAACAGGTGCTCTGAGGTTTCTTAGGTCTGTGATTGTGCGTGCCTCACTTCGCTCCCCAGCCCCCGTCCTGGAGCCTCCCTCCTCCTATATGAAATAGGGCTTGATGACCCCACTCCCCAGGCACTGGCAACTAGGAAATTCATTAGATCAGCCTTTCTCCTCAACCGCTCAGCTACCCCCGTGGCTCTGCCCGTGGCTCCCGGGATGAACAAATGGACTCCTGACTCCGTGTGTAGGTGGGGGATCTTTATTCAGCAGCAGCGCTGCCTCAGGAGCCAAACTCTCCTCCAACCAAGTACCCAACCGCTTTGTGTCAGATTCAGCGACTCGGCCCTCTGGCTGGTGGTGATGACCTCAGGGTCCCCCCGGAACTCGGGTGGGGGTGCAAGCTATGATGGCAGCTGGCTGGGGACAAAGTGTCCAGGGTGGGCTCAGGGCAGCCAGCCATTTCAGAGGCAGCCGGTACAGGCGACATTCACACACAGCTCACAGTCATCATTAGCGATGGTCCCTGGGCAGGGGAGAAGACCGGTCAGCTGACCCTGACCGTGAACCACCTGTAGTCCAGGGGCTGCTGGCCAGGCAGCCAGAGAAGGATGCTTTGGGGAGGGCCTGAGGGCGAGGACCAGCCTCCTTCTCACAGATCAGGAGCATGATGCTGTAGAAGCAGAAAGTGGCTCAGGTTCAAGTCCTGGCCCTCTCCTTCCTAGTGGTGCCTGGGCACACCTCTTACACTCTCTGGGCTGGACTTGTCCTGTTGACTCTATGGACAGTATCAACTGACAGGTTGGTCGTGAAGAAAGACCAGCAAAGGGACTGACACAGGCCTGGCACTTAGTAGGTGCTCAATAAATGCTAGTGAGCCTCTCTAGTCACTGGCCAGTTCTGCTTCCTCCCTCACATTTCAGCTTACTTGTCACCTCCTCTTTCCAAGAGTCTTTCAGACTCCTGATGCCACCGCAGACACGAGCCATCTCTCCTCTGCGTCCCCCGTGCTCCCCCGTCAGCCATTGCTTACGGGTCCAATGTCCGGTGCCCCCTTCCCTCCCATCTGTGACATCTGATGGGTCAATCAACAGTCCAGGTTGCCGGGGCCTGCGGGGCCTCCTGGCAGGCCTGACTCTCCCTGCTCTGGCCACTGGCACTGGGTGCTTAATAGAAAGAATGGGAAGTGGAGGAATGTGGTCTGGGGAAGAGAGCGAGCCAGAGGCAGCAAACTCCGCAGGGGTGGGGGCACTCACTCAAGGCCTGGAAGACGCTGTCTGCTTCCTTGGATGCACAGATGGGCTGGAGATCCTGTGGCAGGGCTGGGTGGTGACACGCAGGGGGCACTAGCCTCTGGGTCTGGAGGTGGGGGTTGGGCAGCCTCTGCTCCTCTAGGTCACTAAGCCTCTTCACTGATTCCAGCTGGACCTGGAAGCCTTGATACTGAGGGGGAGAACGAGGGGAGAGGAGGGGAGAGGGATCAAAGCCTGGGCCTGGAGGTCAGAGCCTCAGACCTCGCAGAACTTTCCCTGTTCTCCGGGGGGGGTGGGAGGTGGGGTGGTCCAGGCCATGTTCAAAGGACAGCCTGGGAGGTGGGAGCGGGCGTCTGCCACTTCACACTCCACGGTGCCTCAGGCTCCCAGGAATTGTAGGTGAGGATCTGGTGGGGCTGGGGAACAGGTGGTTCAGGGTACAGACCAGTGTAACCCCGAACCCAGCCCCGGTTCCAATCCTGGCTCTCCCCAGCAGGCCGCCTGTATCTTCCGCACGCTGAGCCTCATCTGGCAAACGGCCCCTCCCCAGCGCCTGGCACCAGTACGGTCCACACCCGGCAACCGGGTGATCACCCCTGAACAGACATGGCAAAATGATGGCAACCCCAAGTTGGCCGGGTTTCAAGGCCAGGGCTGCAGGGGAGAGGGGGGGGAAGGTGACTCTCCCCGTCCCTCCCAAGGAGGCTCCGCCCAGAGTTGGGAATGTGACGGACACCCAGGGCCACAGATGTCCACATCCTTGCTGGCCAGCAGCATCCTGCTGCCTGGCAGGCAGACCCTGCTTCCACGATTCCCTCCTGCCTCACAGCTGTCCCGGAAGGAGCCCTGGGCCTCCTGCTGTCCTCTCTCCGAGCCTTTGCATCTGCTATGCCCTCTGCCCCGCGCTGCCTTGTCCTCTGTGCCTGGCTATCGTCCTGCGATGTCAGCTCACTTACCTGCCAGGAAGCCTTTCTGGTGACTGTCCCCCATCCACCCACTCATGGGTGACTATAGGGAGCTGTGGGAGAGCCCCCTCCTTCTGGGCTCCCAAAGAGCAGGGACTATGTCTTGCTCCACCCTCTGACCTCTGGCCAGGACCGGCCTTCTGATAGAGCAGCGGTTTATTATTGCTATCACTGCCTTCGGCCTTCTTGCTGCCCCCGCCTGCCAGCTCTCTTGGTCCCTGGGTTGTGCTTAGATGTTGGGCTGAGCCCCGGGCCCTTGCTCCCCTGTATCCCATGAAGTTCCTGGCGTCCCCTCTCCATCCCAGCCTCTCATGGGGGGCGCTTCAGGCAAAGGGCACAGTGGCCGGAGGGACTCACCTGAATGTAGACTGACTGTGTGCCCTGCAGCAGCACCAGGAGGAATACAGTCACCCTGGACGGGAGCCCTGACACCATCCTGCCACGTGTCTCACGCCGTCTGTACCCCAGTGCTGCTGTCCACGGGCTCCCACCTGCTTCCCCAGCGAGCACCTCTTTATAGGCCCAGCTCCAGGACCCGGGCCACTCATTAACTGGCCAGCTGGGGCGGGGCTGACAGCTGGCTGGCTCTCTGACAAGCCTGGAGCCCATTCCTAGGAAGGTGGCTGGGGGTGATGAGGGCAGGGAGGCCCAGAGCACACAGAACCAGGATACTGTGTGTCAGGCACCTGTATGGGTGGCTCTGGAGGGGGGCCTTGGACACACCACTTTCCTTAGCTCCATGACACCTATTCACATGGAATGATGGAGAGACCATTGTACAGACAAGGAAAGTGAGGCTCAGGAGGTGAATTAACTTGCCCCAGGTCACCAAGCTAGTCAGTGGCACGGCAGGGACTCAAGTATCTTTGACTCAGGTCAGCCCGTGGTCCTTTCTCTGGGCAAAGGATGCAGATAGATAGGCTGGTCCAGGGCGAGATGGTCTGACACAGGACAGATGTCAGGGCTCTCTGGGGCCCTGGACCCGATTGTTTCCTGCCCCTCCACCAAGTTCAGTTTAAGGCTCCTCCTCCTCGTCAGTCCCTTTCCAAGCCCTCAACCCGCCTCTATCTGCCACCTGCAAATGGTGCTCCGTACATTCAGTCCACATTTGACCCATCTTGCCCGTCCATGCCTTGCAAATGCCAATCGCCTAACCCAGCATGCTATTGGGTTGGAGGAGGAGGTAATAACACCGACCTTGGGGACATATTGACCTGGGCTCAAATCGTGGTCCTGCTGCAGCTGTATCAGCTTGGACAAGTCACACGAACTCGGACTGAGCCTGTTTCCTCTTCCATCAAATGGGCATAATGACAAAATCCACTGCATAGGGTCTCTGTGGGGGCGATGGGGCCGGGTCCACTGAGTAACACTTGCCCCCTAATCTCCTTCTAGGCAATGTGTAACCCACTATATCCATGGCTGAAGGTGGGGTCAGGGAGAAGAGGGCAAAGTCCACAAGGGTGTTATCACCACTGTCTCTGGGCAGTTGTAAACAGTGCTTGAGAGCCAGGGCTCACTTCTGCTGGACAGGGAGCCCGGCGTGTGATAGGTACCCCACACGTGGCATCGAACTGAAGCCCAGGTGGCCCAGCTAGGTATTTAAGGCTCACTCTCCAGCCTGTGGCCCAACTTTGATGTCATCCCATGCCCTAAGACAAAACCCTATCTGCACGTGCTTCTGCTGATGCGTCCTGCCCTCCTAAAATGCCCAGCTCCCTGTCTCTTCACTCGGGAGGAACTGGGGAAGAGCTTGAGTGAACTCTGGCATTTCCTATGTCTTGCTTTGAATCCAGACTTCAGCCTTTACTGTTTTGAGTATGAAGGAACTAACGGGTCCTTACATGCTTTCTCATCTGCAAACTGAAAATAATCATTGGCAACAATAGCTCTCACTTCTTGAACTTGCACCTGGTGCTAGGCCCAGAGCTGGTTTATGCAAATGATTCCTTCTAATCCTCTAGGAGAGGTGTAATGGCTGTCTCTATTTTCCAGATGAGTAACCTGAGGCCCAGCAAGGTCAAGCATCATGTGAGTAAGGGGAGAGCAGGCTTTGTCTCTGGGATTCTTGCATCTGCTCAGCTGACGGTGTTCTAGAAAACAGAACATGGGCCTTGGAGGCAAGAAGATCTCAGTGCTTCTCAACTGTGTGACCTTGGGTACCTTACTTAGCTTCTCCAAGCCTCTCTGTTTCTTCATCAGTAAGTTTGGGAAATAATGAACAACTTCATCGTGGCTGTTGGGAGGAAAATGAACAACTTCATCGTGGCTGTCCCAGAGGAACTGGTGACTCTCCCTGTCCTCAAGCTGGCCGCCTCCCCAGCCAGTGTCTAGTCCACGGTGGCCATGCAGTCAGTCCACTGCCTCTCAGGGGGCTCTCCCTGACAAGCCCCATCTCTGAACCTACAGCTGGAACAGCTCTGATCTTGCTCTTCCAACCAGAGCAAGCTCAGTGCCCCTGGCCCCACACCAAAGGGTGAGGAGCAACCCTTGTTCTCTTCTCTGCCTTCTAGCTCCTCCAGCCAGGGTTCATCATGTGTTACTCTTTTCCTGGGAACAAGTCGTGTGACTTCCCTATCTGCCTAATGTGACTCAAATTCGTATTTCCGCCCAGCTCCTCCTAACCGCTTCATGAATGACCCATCATCTGTCAAAACTAAATCAGTCACAGACACAAACCCTGACTGCCGCCCTGTTTGGCCAGCGTGCTCTGACGCTTCTCAGGGAACTTCCTTCTTTAGGGACCTGGGAAGTGACTGTCACACCATCCTGGACTCTGGTCTCTGTGTGGAAACCTCAAACGCCATGGCGGAGTGACAGCTCGCCTGTGTGTGTGTCTGGGAGCTCCTATCTCGACACTGGATTCCCCACTCAGAGCCCCCTGCCGTGCTGCCCCAGAGCCTATGACTCTCCCTGCCCCTAAATGGACCAATTCCCCAGCAACATTTGTCACAAACGACCACCCTGTCTTTCTTGGGATAAAGCATTTTCTCCATTTGCCACCTGGGATACGCGTTCCCCAGATTTTCTGCCAGTCTCGATGGTTCATCTTTTCTGTGTCCTCAGAATGCCCCAGGGGCTCCAGGGCTCAGTCCTTGGACTGCTTTCCTGTGTCCATAGTCACCAGTGATCTGATCCAGTCTCCAGGACTTTAATGCCACCAGTACCCTATTCTCTCCCTAACCTGACCTCTCCCTTCTTTTCCAGACTCCTTTATTTACCAGCTCAGCATCTACCATAGAGTCGATGGTGTCATCCTTGATGCCTCTTTTTTATTTGCTAAATTCAATTCATTAGCAAACCCAGTTGACTCTACCTTTAAAATATTTCTAGACTCTAACCATATCTCACCATGTCCACTGCTACCGGAGGTCCAAGCCATCATTCCTGGTCATTGATCTCATGGATTATTCAAACAGCCTTGTATTAGTCAGAATTCTGCAGAGAAACAGAATGAATGTAGACTATGAATATATATTCATATATCTATTTATATATTCAAATATATATCCTATCCTATTTATATATAAAAATGTAAATCTTATTCTTCCTTTCTTTCTACTAGCTAACTATCTGCCTATCATCTACCTATCAATCGTCTAATCTATGTCTGTCTATCTAGATGTGTTTTAAGAAACTGGCTGATTTAATAGTGGGACTGGCAAGTTTGAAGTCTGTAGAGAAGACTGCAGACTGGCAGGCTGGAAATTTAGTAAGAGTTGATATTGCAGTCTTGAGTCTGAGTCCAGCCAGGGTAAATCCAAAGGCTTCTACTGCTCTACAAGGTTCTGCATCCCCCCCCCCCCCCCCCCCCCCCAAGGCTTTGAACTTATCTCCAAAGATTCTGCCCTTCACTGTCTAGGTTCTGCCCACACCAGATTCCTTGCTGTCGCTCAAACACACCAAAGGTTTCTTACTTCAGGTCTTTGCTCTTCCCCCACATGTACATATAGCTCACCTGTCACTGCATCTGGGTCTCTGCTTAAATGCCACTTCTCCCAAAGAGATCTTGCCCAGCCATCCTACCTCAGAGAACTTCTCCCATCAATCCTTGTTTTCTTAACTTGCTTTCTGGTAGCATGGACCTCTATATACATTTTATTTCTTACATTTCTCTCCCTACTGGATCATAAGCTCTATTAAAATAAGGAATTTGTCTATTTTGTTCTCCCCAAATGGCTTCTGGCACATAGCTGGTGCTCAACTAACACCAATGAGTTGAATAAATGAATATGTTTGAAATATCTACTCCAGGAACCACTAGATGTTTGGCCTTGGCCAGTTTCCTTCTTCTCTGAACCCCACCCATCTCATCTAGCACCTTCCTGACCCAGGCAAGGAGGCTGGCACATGGTGCGTGTTCAAAAAATGCTGGTGATTATTATTTTCAGAGTTGTGAAATGATTTGTTTATCAAGAAACAGAATCCTCTTTGTGTCTTATGTGCTTGACGAACTCTAAGGCATTCTTTAACTTGGTCACCAAATATTGACTGATGGCACACCATGTGACAAGCACCCTTCTGGGCACATGAGGTACAGCGATGAACAAAATGGACAAAGCCTCTGCCTACCAAACCGTGCTGGTGGCTTAGACAGGCAGTCTGAGTTGAGCTGCAAGAACGTGTCAGAGTCTAGAGATTCAGTGAAGTTGGAGCCATAGGATTATTTTCTGTTACCTTCGGTGTCAAGGGTGAATGAAGGGGGAGTCAAGGACAACTCTAAGGTTGTCCCGAATCCAGCAGTGCTGCCATCTGTTGAGATGGGAACCAGAAATGAGTAGGTCTGGTGAGGGTACCAAGAATTCTGACATGCTCTTTCTGACATGACTGTTTGACATCTGTAGAGATGAGGACCACAGACATACATGTTGAGTCATCAGGAAGTATCTGATCCTTCGAGTTCTGAAACTGGATGGAGGGAGTGGCTGGCTGGGGAAAAGGAGAGGTCCTGGGATGGAAGCGTAGCAGGGCACTGCGACATTTGGAGGTAAGGCAGAGAGGCAGGAACCTGCAAAGCAGAAAGATAAGGAGCAATCGAGAGACACCAGTATGAGTTGTATCCTCAGAGCCAAATGAAGGAAGTGTTTTAGGAATTGGCGCATGACTGCCTGGGTCAAATGCCATAGTTACCTCTGGAAAGATGAAGACGAGAACTGCCCCTGGGTTCGGTGACATGAAGCGTCTGGTGACCTTGAGAAGGTCAATTTTGGGGAAGACGTGGATGTAAACCTGAGGGGAGTGGGACTGAGACAGGACCTAGTGAGAGTACAGGTGTGGCTCTAGGGTGAGAGCTCTTAGCTGTCGCTTTAAATTCAAGGCTAAAATGGAAAGATGACAAATTTAAAGAAGGATCAGCATACTGGGCCCAATGCATGAGCAGGATTGATCTAGAAGACCCTGACAGCGAGCTGTATCAGCCAAGGTGTGGTAGATTTCCCAGCAGCCTCCCAAATGAAATTTTGGCCTGTCCCTAGAGAAGTGAGTGACCTAGGGAGTGGTTCTGTTTTTTCTATGGTGAAAAGGAAACTCAGAATCAAATATGTGCCCCAGTAGTAGTAACTACACTGAATCTCATTCAGTCCCCTTTGTCTCTTTTCTCAGTCTATCCATATTGTAGTGATCTTGCTCTCCACACACCCCACCTCCCACCTCCCCCACCCACTCACCCCCCACCCACTTGCCTTCCCCCACTCACCACCATCCACACCCCTCCACACACTCACCCTCACCCTCACTCCTACACTCAACCTCACTCCCACCCGCATCCACACCCACCCACACCTACCCACTCACTCCCACCCCACACACACCCACACACCCACACCCCTCCCACACCCATGCACTCACCCTTACCCACTCACCCTCACTCCCACCCATACTACACACCCCTCCACACACCCACATATACTCACATACACACTCACCCCAAACCCCCCCCCCACCCCTCACACACCCCTCACACACCCCTTTCTGGCTTGTTTATATTCTCACCAGCTTCACTGTTTTTATGGACTGGGGGTTGGGTAAGAGGTGTTTAAACACAAATAAGTGAATCAGGGCTGCCCCCTGGTGATGGGCAGGTGATACTGCAGGCAGAGAAATATGAATTGCCCTTAATCCTCAAAGAATCCATGTCTTTCTGAGGCGCTGCTTGAGAGTTAATGGGTGAGCAGACATTTACACTCTCTGATTTGAGGGGCATTGGGAAGGCTTGGTTCCCATGTGTATGCCTGGGTAGGGGGGCCCCTCCCAGCATGATCATGATGGTCACCGTTAGTAATGCTCCTTGGAGGTGCCAGAAGGGAAAGAGTGTGAGGCTGTTATGGAAGAGGTCCTGTTTGCTGGCAGACGCCCATGTCCTGTGGAGTCCAGAGAGCAGATGCCGAGGTGAACAAAAAGGCTGAGATGGGGAGGAGAGGGGGAGAGTGTTCAGGCTGTGGGGAGGGGGGCCTGGCACTGAAATCGGGTCTTGGGGGGCAGCCAAGGGGCAGCTGAGGCAGCAAGAGAAACTGAGAAGAGACATTGGGCTGCCAGAGACTGGGGTTGCTTGAGCTGGGCTGTTCCAGTGCAAGGGGCTGGTGTGTGCCTCTGGCCCTGACTTCTGCTGGTGTTTCTGCCTGCCTTCCCCTGTGGTCAAAGACAAGCATGGCAAGGTGTGTGTGTGTGTGTGTGTGTGTGTGTGTGTGTGTGTGAACATCCACGGGCTTGAAAGCATGTGTATGAGAACATGCACGTGTGAATGAGCATGCGTATGCATGAGTGTGCATACACGTGAGTGTGTTTGTGTGTGTCTGTGCCTGCATGGGTGAGAAGGATGTGTTGTGACTGCATGTGTGAGTGTTTGTGTGTACATGTGTGTGCATGTGTGAGAATAGTGTGCATTTACATATGGGTACGGTTTATGTGCCTGTGTGTCTGTAGGTGTGAGAGTATGTATATGGGTGTGTATAAGTGTGTATAGGCATCTGCATGAGCATGGGTGTGAGCAGATATGTGTGTGAGTGGTGTATAGGAGCATGTGTATGTGTGTATTTTTGTGTCTGTGTGAGTGTGTGCAGGTGAGGGTGTGTGAGTGTGTGTTGGGTTTTGGAAGCGAGGCCATGCGTGTTTGGCTGTGGAGAGAGGCTGAAAGGGTTCTGTCTGATGTGGGAGACCCTGGGGTGTGGTGCCAGGGTGAGGGGAGGGCTCGCGGTGTGGAGAGATAGAGGCTGGAGCCAGGGGGAGGTGGGCCTTAGAGCAGCTGACTTGAAGCTGGGGAATTAATGGAGGAGCTGGGAAGGTGTCCAGCCCATGGCAGCCATATTGGAATGTTCTCCCTTCTTCCACTCCTCCCTCTCGCCAGCAGCCATCTGAACGTTATGGCTCTGACGTCAGGCAGAGCAAGGTCCCACTACTGCCAGGTCTTGGGCCAGTCACCCACTTCTCTAAGTGTCAGCTCTCGGCTGTGAGGTGGGAATGACACCCTGGCTGCCAAGTGGGGGTGACGAGGGCAAATGAGAGCAGTCATGCCTGCTAGCGCTCGCTGGCAGCTGATGATGCGCCAGGTTCTGATCTGAGGACTTTGCCAGTGCAAACACATGGCTTCCTCATACAACCCTAGGCAGTAGAAAACTCTCCTTTTAGAGAGAACGCCGGGGCATGGAGAGCTTTGCTAACCTGCCTGAGAACACACACATTTGAAGTGGCAGAGCCCCTGGGCTGATGTCCTAAGCACTGTACATTGGGCCTCCATGAGCCATAAGTGACTATGAAGCACCCCTCCCAGTGCTGGACACATCATAGACCCTCCATAGGTGTCCCCCCATCCCCTCCACCCTCTGTCTCTCTAGGGCTGAAAAGGATCAGCTGAGGGAGAGAATGAGTCCTCTTCATGTCCCCTGTGAACACTACTACACCACAGAAGTTCCTGGATTCCTAGAAGCCTGGTCGCTTAAAGAGTAGACTCAGCTGTTTGTTCACGTCACCACACCACTGACAACATCACAACAGCATATTTAGAGTGTAGAACGTGGTTAGGCGCCATACTTCATTTGACCAACAAACATTTAATGGGCACCAGGGCCTGGAAATGGATAAGACAGTCCCTGTCCGCAAAGGGCCCATGGTCGATAAGGACAGACAAAGCCAATGTCTTGTGTTAGACGCAGGGAGTGGGAAGGCTCAGGAGATACAGGAACCCCGAGAAGGCGCCACCTTCCTCCAGTGAGGAAGAGGGGGCTGTCAGACTCCGCTAGCCCTTTGCTCACATCCCATACCTGGAATGCCCTCTCCCACCCTACTCAGGCACCAGCCCAGACCATGGCCCCCCATTCTCTCTCCCAGGAGTTCCATTCTCAGAAGAGGAACCCCTGCAGTCCTTGGGCTCCCACGGTGGACCTGAGTGTCTGCTATCTTTATATTTCTGTTTTGGGTGTAAGGGACCCATCTCCACAGTTAGACTGTGTCCCCTCCAGGGTACAACCTCAATTTCACGTTCCTCAGTGACGCTCGTGCCTAGGTGGCCCTACACAAGACTGGGACACACTCATCTTTACTGATGCTTGAGTCTGGGGGTTCTTTGTTTGCAGCCCCCAGGGCTGCACTGCTGAGGAAATCCTAAGTGCTGAGTCAGGGCCCAGCTTTGCCAAGCAGGATTGCGTTTCATTAAGTGGGGATGAAATACAAATTCCCCGCAGCATTCATGGGATCGATGTCCAAGGCACAGCTGCCATTTATGTTTTAAAATTTGCAGTTGGGGATCATTGTGAAACTTGATTGCTCTGTCTTGGGGACTTCTTAAAGTCCAACTCCACAATAAAGCCAATCAGACTCAACCATCAAATGTCAAATAGGAGCTAATGAACCATTCACAGGCTTGGGAGAGAAATCAGGCAATCTCTTATTTCAGGATTATCCCTTCCAAATATTGAATCTGAACTGTAAGCAGAATTTGCTATAATTGCATCCCCCTCCTCTCGGGCGTGGGGGATCATTGGCATTCACATCATGTCTCGGCTTTCTGGAGAGAGGCTTGCCAAGCCGACCCACTGCTTTCCAGAGACACGTGCTCCCGGGGCATCATTCTGAAAGGGAGCAGGCAGGGGGTGCCGGGATTCCTCCTTGTCTTGAAGTTGAGCCTGTTGAACTTGATGTTGGCTGCGTCTCCTAAGTATTTGCATGGCATCTTCTTCGTGGGAGAGGACATCTGCATGGAGGGAGGGGATCCTCTCACATAAGCCCCACTGGGAGCTTGGGTGAACTTCTGGAGGGTAGGTGGAGCCTGGGGACAATGTGATCTGTCTGGTCCCTCTGTATCTCTCTGTCAGCTGCATTAGGGTCTGCAAAGACCTACCCACCCAGTGATGGCCCAGTACATATACTGTTCCCTGTGTCTCTCTGAACCATCTGGTTGGGTGATGTGGGTTTGCCATCACCTCTACCTGGGGCAGTGCTATGATGCAAGAGGTTATCACCCTCCTTCTCATTCTCTCAGGAGTTTAGGGTAGCACAGTGATGAGTTACTCCCTATGTCAGAGATGGCTAGTTGTCTGTCCATTGAAGTTCCCTCTCCTCTCCCGAACTATATAGTCATGGCTGGAAAGCAGCTGTCTAGCCAGGGACATGACACTAGGCTTGGTCATATAACTAGCTTTCACCACTGGAATCTGTGGGGAAGTGGTGTGGGCCATTTGAAGTTCAAGGCTCTTGAGAGACAACATGCTTCCTCCATCCCTACTTTCCTCTTTTACTGTTTAGTTTTAGATGATGATAAGGCCCTATAAGATGACAGTATCACAAGGTGGAAGGAGCCAGGGTCCTTAAATCGACCCTTTCAGGACAGGGTCCATGGCAGATAGAGTGGAGCGAATGGTTCACGCCTTGTCCCTG